CACACACACACACACACACACACAGAGGACTCATAAGGTACAATAATATACGTGCTGCCAGAGCAAGCACAAGATGCCATAGTAGCACAAATTTATTTTTTCTTGAACTCTCACTGAAAACCTTTAGGACTTAATTATTTTTCCTTTTCTGAATAAAATCTCAACCACAGCACATTGTTCTTCCTATCATTGTCATTTCATAGAGGTCCCCAGTGACACTCGCCTCTCCAGTGGAGCCAGGAGATCCATTTCTGTAACTGTCAATGTTTGATCAAAAATCCCAAGCTTCCTCCCTCTTCTTGGTCCTATCAAGACAGGCACGTGTCAGAGGGAAAGGGCCGGGTGGCTGCCTGGCTCCTCTCTGTTCTCTACTACTTCTTCCTCCTACTCCCGCAGGTTTGGAGCAGGGTAAGAGCGAAGAAGCCAAGGGTGGGGAGAGCTTTATCTCCGTGCTACTTCTGAGAAGATTGCAAATGATCTGTAGTTTTTGTCCCACATCCAGGAAACAAGCCTTTCTGATGTCTTTATGGTGCCCCCAGTGGACTGTATATCACTTCAAAGGACCATTGCAAGGGAACCATCTATTTATTTTAAATTACCAATTTAAAACACTGGGTGGAGAAGCAGAGCACAAGTGGACGAGGATAGGAAGTCCCTAAAAGCATAAAACAAAGGAGACTAATTTGAGAGAAACATTTTATATACCACTACACCTAACCTAGCATCTCTCTTGAACTCTGAAATTTTTCTTTAAAAAATGTAATATCCAGTTTTATTTTAGTCATACTACTTCTCAGCACCCATCATGTTAATTTAATCTGAGCTGTAGTTGTACTTGGATGTATTACTTTTAGGAATAATTTATGCATCTGTATATATTAAAGATGGGTGATATCTTTAAGCTTTTCAAAAGTGAATTTAGGGTTAGTTTTCACACTGAGTGGTGCCACCATTAGGGTCCGGAATGTCCTACAAATGGCCAAGTGTTCAGAGCCTAATCTCCAGCCTATGGCACCACTGGGAAGGGATGGAGCCCTTGGAGTGGGACACAGTAGAAGGAAATCAGGTCATGCAGGGCTGTCCTTGGAGATGTCGGGACCTCAGCCCATCCTCTTCATCTCTGTTAAGTTTGAGTTTTTAATGTTCTAAAAAGTCTTGGGTGTTGAACATTTGTTTCCCAGCTGATGGTCCAACTTGGGAGTTGGTGCAAGTTTTAGGTGGGCCTAGTGGAAAGAAGTTAGATTATTAGGGGAATGCCCTGAAAGAGATCTGGGAACCCTGTGCACACCTGTCTGTGTGCTTCCTGGCTGCCATATGGTGAAGAGTTTTTGTTCTTTCTTTCTCTCTCTCTCTCCCTTTCTTTCTTTTTGTGGTGCTGGGGATCGAACTTAGGACCTTACGCTTGCAAGGCAGACCTATTGCCACTGAACTAATTCCCTGGCCTTTTTTTCTTTCTTTTTAATTTTATTTATTTAGTTTTTTAGTGAACAGTTTTGGTCCACTACACAGTCCTGGTAATGATGTTCTGCCTCCCCACAAATCAAAACAGTAGGACCAACAGACCAGGTACTAAACCCTCTAAAACTGTGAGCCAAAATAAAGCCTTTCTTTTCCTAAACTGATTACTTCAGAAATTTTTTTTTAATGTATGATGGTCTTTATGTACAATTTTATTGGCAAAAGAATAGACAAAACACAGGACACTGTAGCTGATCCTGTGGGGTTAGTATTCCATTTCAAATGTCAATCAAATTGTCCAAAAATATATAATACTGAATCTTCATTTTCTTGCATTCTAGGTAGTCTTTAAAACATAAATGGAAAAAGAAAAAAATAACTCACTGAAAACTGCATCAAACGAAAAGTATTTTAAATAAAAGTTTCTGTTGTTCTTGATAATAACACATGAAAGCCAAAATCTGGAAGAGCAGTTACACTTCCTACTTGAGTGCACATTTTCAGCAGTCATTGTCTGCAATGACCTTTGTATTTTCAGTGTATCATGAACTACTGTGAACTGTGTGATGCAGCCAAAATCGGAAGAGAAGACATAGGCGGAATATTCCATTTTTGGAGCAGAATAAGCCCTCCAGAACCAGCATGGGAAATAACTATCCAGTTGATTCTAGGTGAAAAAAAATTATTAGAGTCAACTTCAACTCAGGCTGAGCTGACTCAATGTTTTCATTAACTTGTTTGTTGTCGTTCTTCTAAATCAAGTGTGTTTATTTCTTCCTCTACTTCATCTAGATCTTTCCCTGTAAAAAGATTTTCATCAACAGGAACAGCCCCAATGGCTCCATTTTCCTGCCCCTCCACTTCTCTTACCTCTTCCAAATCACTTCTTTCACCATTTTTGTCCCTGCCTCCAGAAGTTTCGCTGAATTTTTTATCTTTCCCTAAGACATATGTGTTGAATCTCTCAAGACAGCTGCGCCTGTCTCATCCACATCTCTCGGGATGTACACTGTATTGTTTACATTCACAGGCTCATCAACCTGATCACCACCTACTGCCCGAGTGTAACGCAAAGCATCTGCTTCCTCCTCGTCATCACTGACCAGTTCAGGACAGAATTCAAACACCTCCTAATCACTGATCACTAGTGCCTTCCCTGCTTTGAAGTTAGCTTTCCTTCTTTCCATATCAATCTTTTCTTCCTTCCATACATGGGACGTTTCTAGAGTGAGTTTGGTAACATTTGGACCTAGAGCAAAACACTCTCTTTTGAAGAGACCTCCTAATGAAATTTCATTTCCTTTCTCTACTTTCTTATATTTTTTCAACACGAATCCACAAAGAAGTGTGTGATGATACACACTTACCACCCCTAGGCCACACCCAAACCCAACCATGCTTGTTATTTTCAATAGCTTCAAGGAAATGCTTGCTGAGTTTGGGGTATTTTTCTTTTCTGCCTCACCCTGTTCTTCTTGTTCACCAGTTCTTCTAGTTTTTTCTCATCCCAATTATCTGCGGTATCTTTTTCAAATTCATCGCTTGCATCAATATTAATGCTTCATTTTTCACATTTTCTCTCTGAAGTCAGGTCACAAGAGATCTTACACTTATCTCCTCTCTACACAGCTCTTACTTGAAGAAGGCTCATACTGCAGTTTTGGGAGGTGCACCTACCTTTATTTATGTTTTGAGCAGCAAGGACAGGTTTGAACAGCTCATTGAGCTCCTGCAACCCTTTCTGCTTGTCATCTTCACTTTCATTTCAGCTTTACTTTGTGCTACCCGATGTAGATTTTGTTGAATAAATTTAACTTGATGAGTGACAGCCTTGATAAGCTTCGGTTACCTTGCTCCTTTTTTATTCTTCAGACAAAAGTTTTGTCTAATAATTTTCTCTTTGTTTTACTGCTCTTCCTTTTTTGGTGCCCCGGCCTGAGCCTGTTTCCTGGGGTGTGGGGGTATGGTAGAGAGAGGTACCACCAGCCAGACTGAATGCCGTGGGGGAATTTTTTGGGCATTTGTTACAGTAAGAGGAAGCTGACTAGCACACTGGTATATAATTCAATTTTCAAATCACTATCCTGTTCCAAAAAGATCAAATCACAAGTTGTTTTAATGATATTTCTCCTATATATCCAAACATTTATTTTCTCAAGAGGATCATTAAGTAGAAATTGGCAAAAGAAGCAATTTTTCAAGTGAGAAATTTTTGAATCAAATAACATTGATATTGTCACTTTATACTAAAATATTTGTGAAGTTAGCTGTTTCAAATAAAAGAAATCCAGCTTTCATATAATGTAATGCTTACTTCCTGCATCCCCAGAAATCACCTAACTCTGTGTTATCTAATCAGTAGTTTCAACATCCACATGCTAGAGTCAAAAATCTGTTTTTGAAATTTGTACATATCTAGGGCTGGGGATTTAGCTCAGTGGTTTCGCTGTTTGTTGCGCAAGTGCAAGGACCCAAGTTCGATCCTCAGTACCAAAAAAAAAAAAAAAGAAATTTGTACATGTCTCATCTTATTCCTTGTAGGGAAAACTATAAATGAGTAGCTTATCACTCATTTAATGCCTAAGAAATTACAGTGTACATTTCTATTACAATTTGGTAGTTGCAGAACAAGTATAAACATTTGAATTTAAGATTTCTACATTCTAATAGACAAGATTTTACAGCTGATATTTGTCTAGCCACTACTGGGAATGATTCTCTATTACTCTCCCTTTTTCATTATTGGCAAATGATGTGGCACTCTAAGCCTCCTGTGTAGTTGGCATCTCCCAAAGACTGAATAGTTTAAGATTTAGGGTTCCTGATGTGGTTATCAATGAGGAATTATTTCATCTTAATCATATTTGAGAAAACTCATAATGCATGTATCCATCCTTATCTTTAGAGAGGGGATTACGTGACAAATTCCTATATGCTGCAAAAGATACACTGTTGTATACACCAAGCCCTATATTAGCTACTCAGACAATAATTATAAGGTGAAAAGTGGTCCCCGCCTTCAAGAATTTATAGAATGGAGATAGGCCTGCTAACCAAAACTCACAATGCAATGTATTGTTGCTGTAATAAAGTTACACACCTGATGCAGGAGGAACTTCAGGCAGGTTGCTGGTGGTTACCTGGGAGAATGCAAGATATATTTAAGGGGCAGGGGAGCCTGGAGCTAGAGTGACAGGATGAATAGGTGCTTGGGTGACAATCAGCAGCTGGCATGACAGATGGAAAGAATGTCAGGTGCGAAAGCAGGAGGAAGGCTGACAGGGCCTGGCAACACTGAGGAATTCAGTGAGGGGAAGTGGGATAAAGAATCAGGTGAGGCACATCTATAGAAGCTTCATAATAGAGAGAAATGAATGTCATATGCAACACACTGCATTTTATACCCTAATTTCAAAAAATGTGTCTCCATTTTTTGGTAGAGCAGATATTTGTGTTGAAATCTTTCTGGAGATGGCATTGAGGATGGATTAGAGAAAGATAAGCAGAGAAAAAGAAAGATAATTAAGAAGAACAGTACATACATGAGCTCTGAGTTCTTCATAGCCCAGCTTTGAGCCCGAATCTCTGAGGACACCACATACCCCATCTCCTACTATGAGCCCGAATACTACACAGCTAAGGATGGGGGCACTGCCCTCCTGTCTGTGGTCTCGGAGGGTGGCAGTGCTGTGTCTGCCACTAGCACCATCAACCTCTACTTTGGCTCCAAGGTCATTTCCCAAGTCAGCAGCATCCTGTTCAACAATGAGATGAAAGCCTTCACCTCTCCCAATTTCATCAACCAGTTCGGGGTGTCCCCTTCACTGGCCGGTTTCTTCGAGCCAGGGAAGCAGCCACTCTCATCCCTGTATTCATTGATCATTGTGGGCAAGGATGGCAAGGTCCAGATGGTGGTGGGAGCCTCTGGAGGCACACAGATCACCACAGCTGCTGCACTGACCATCATCCCTAATCTCTGGTTTGGCTATGAGATGAAGCAAGCAGTAGAGGAACCCCGGCTGCACAACCAGCTTCTGCCTAATATCACAATACTGGAGAAAGACATTGATGAGGCAGTGGCTACAGGCTTGAAGACCCGGCACCACCAAACCAAGGTCAACACCTTCATCACTGTTGCCCAATCCATCGTTCCAACAGCCAGTGGCTGAGCAGCTGCCTCGGACTCCAGGAAAGGCAGGGAGGCAGCCGGCTCCTTAGTGCTCACTTGGGATAGCCAAGATTGGCCAGCAACCCAGGGGCAAGATACCAAGCCCAAGAGTGGGGCTTTGGGGAATGTGCCTCTCTCAATGAGTGACACAGCAGCATAATAAATGGGGCCACTGCACCAAGCTCTGGGCAGCCTCACGGGCCAGGTTCCCCACTAAAAAAAAAAGAAAAAAAGGAAGAAGAAGAAGAACAATACAAATTATCCAAGTGCAAATGACAAGGGAAGAGAATTAGGGCAGAGGAAAAGAGAATAAAGAGAAAACCAGGAAGAAAGATGTGTGAAACAATGAGAATGTGTAGAGGTAACGAAGAGGAGAAATCTAGGATGAAGTTTTTGGATTGGGTTCATTGAGAGGATGATGTTAAGAAGACAATATAAGTTTTGTTTTAATTTCATTTATTTTCAATTAAAGATTTGAAGGACAGAAATTTCTCTTTAAATTTCATTGAATTGGATGTTCCTATGAAAAGTTATGTGGCTTTTCTTGTTGAATAAAAATATTTTTAGACTATTTGTTTTTCTGTTTTATTTGAGTAGGGGGTTATGAAACCAAACAGTCTGAAAAGGTTGACATCTCATCTTTAATATTTAAATCATTGCTATCAGTGTAATTAAACCAAAGGCTCTATTAGCATTAGTTTAAAGAAAAAATAGAATGGTGGTTCACTGTGCCTCGAAAACAGCCCTTCCTTTGTGTCAGATCATCCTGTTCAGTCTCATTCTCTAAGGATTTGCCTCTCAACTGCTTTTGAACCTGGTGTATCTAATGCACCCTTCACACTTCCTGGTGGAGTGGGGAAAGGGAGGAGGGGGGAATTCAGTGATAATGAGAGAGTTGCCACCATCAGCTGACTTCCAGCAGGGCCAACAGGAAGCTGACACTGCAGTGTGATGGATAGCATCACACTTACCAAAACTCATCTCCAGAAGAGTATTGGATATGGCTGGAAGGAAGAGGTTGATAAATCATGCACAGTTAGGGTAGGGGTTAATGAGAATCCCACAGGCCATTCTTGAATAACATATGGTTGCTAAATGGACCTCCAAGAAAGGTGGATCCTATTATATTCAAGGCCTTTGTGGAAAAGGACCTTGAATTTCTGAGTCAGAACTTCTTTCTTATAGTATAAGAAAGGGCTGACTCAGCCCCCCCATCCTCCTCCTGTGCCTTGATCTCAACTTCTCCACAAATTGCCAAAGTTTGTGTTGAAAGGGTGCCAAAGTACAAGCAGACTATGACAACACCCGATCATTAGTAGTCTCAGAGTGTCCATTCATTTAGTTCTGTTAGTTCAAACACATAAAACAAAAATGTTCTTATTGTCTAGAAAGACAGGGCTTCATGGTCTAAAATTTGTTATTTTTCTTTCCATTTGTCACTTCTAGCTTTTGTTATCTGTAGTTTGCTTGAATAGGATCAAAATGCCTCTTCTAGGGTCAGCATGTTTTATATTGGCATGTTTACCTTTAATATCTAAACTTGAACAGGTTTATGATTATGAAAAAGAGGCAATATGCAGGGGATACTAGTACATAAATCATTGTCAGGAAACCATTCCTGTGTTTCAAATCAGCAAAACCTTTTAGTGTACTGATAAAGGTCCAGCCAAAGGGGCAGGGAGAATTTTCTTTTTCTTTTGTTCTCACTGAATATCTCATAGAGATGTGGCATTTTTTTCAGATACAAGAAATTCAGTTGATTAAACATTTCTATAAATAGGTTCACTTAACACACTGATTAAAGAAAAGATGTCAAAACTGAAATTCTTTTCTTAATGTTTGTCATTTTATACATCATTTTTTGCTTCAGACCTAGAAATGTAAATTCTTCTTTTAGAACTAGGGCACTTAAGCAAAACAATGACTGAAGCATTTTTCTAAAATAGCAGAAACAAAGACAATCATTCTGATTCATGTTAAGAATCTGAAGAGGAATAAGGATTTTTTGAGATTGGCCACATTCTAACATACTCACTTATGCTGAGACTGTCAAATGGTGTGTACCTTTAAACATTATTCAGTCGCTAATAAAGTGTTTATAGTTAGCCTATTATTTTGTCCTTTGACATTATGTAGTAAGTTTGCTGGGTGATACAATAAAAAATAAAATCTAAATGACACTGTTGATTGTAATTTTTTATTTCACAGTTAATGTTTATCTCATTAAGACATTTGTACATCTCAGACTATATAAGACAAGCCAACAAGAATGGAATCAAGTGGAACAAAGAGAAAATGACTGCAAATGATTTAATTTTGAAAAAAACTTGAAATTAGAATAAAAAAATTGATATCTGCTTCTTTTAGGGTTGTTGTACCATGACCCTGAACAAGTTGTAAGTTCTTAGATCTCCACTTTTCTCACTATAAAAGAATGGATGGAGAAGCTGGCAAAAATTTGTTCCCATTCTGTAGGTTGTCTCTTCACTCTACGGATTGATTTTTTTGCTGTACAGGAGATTTTTAGTCAAATATAATCCAATTTGTTGATTCTTGCTGCTATTTCTTGAGCTATTGAGTTTCTGTTTAGAAAATCCTTTCCTACGTCTTCAAGTGTTTCACCTATTCTTCCAGAAGGTTTAATGTTTCTGTTTTAATGTTTAGATCTTTGACCCATTTTGATTTTAATTGAGTATATGGTGAGAAACAACAGTCCAGTTTCACTCTTCTGCAAAAGGATCACCAATATTCTCAACATCACTTGTTGAATAGGCTACGTTTCCTCCAATATATGCTTTTGGCCCTTTTGTCAAAGATCAGATAGTTGAATGTCTGGTGACATTTCTGTATCCTTGATTCTGTTCCATTGATCCATGTGTCTGCTTTTTCCAGCACCATGATGTTTTTATCACTATTGTGTTGTAGTATAGCTTGAACTCAGGCATTACTATGCTACTTGCCTTGTTCTTATTGCCCAAAATTAGTTTTTCTATTCTGGGTCTCTTCTGGTTCCATATGAATTTTAAGATTATTTTCTCTAGATCTATAAAGTATGCTGTTGGTATTTTGATTGGGACTGAATTGAATCTATGTAACAGTTTTGGAAGTATTTTCACTGACAGTATTGTTTCTGCCTATGCAGAGCAAGGGCATCATAACATGAACTAAGACAAATAATATCAACGAGGATGGAAAAAGGGACAGGGAAACTGTAGGGCAGAGGGGAGGGGGATTTAAAAAAAGAAACAAGCTGGAATATGTACAGGTAACCATTCTCAAGATGATTGTAAACTGCATGAGCTGCAAATACGTACTAATAAAAAAAGAGTGGATGGAAAAAACAAAATTATTTCTAGGCACCTACCTTATTCTTCTGTTCTGCAATGTCATGATAAAATGTTTAATTAATGTTATTGTTTTATTTATTTTCTGATGTCATCTGTCTGAGAAAGTTCCTTAAATTTTCTTAGCCTGAGAACATAAATAAACTTAAATTACAATCACAAGACAATCCTCTTTTCTTCAAGGAGACACAGTGATTCTGTATAACAAAGGTGAAATACACTGACAATAAAATTAGCTTTTGCTGATTATATGTCATAGTTATTTCTATGGAAGGAAAGAAACTGACATTGTGGCGGATTAACTACTGGACAATTTTCAATGCCCAGCTGAACTGAATCAGTGTGATCTAGGTGTGGAAGACCCACCTGAGGACTGTTGCCAATAACATAAAGAGAACTGGAGGGGAAGATCCTAGACTGTTGATTTTCTAGGAGAAACTTGCTGCAGATGGTTTTCCTGATGCAAACTTGACTGTTCTCATTGGGGATGGCTGCTCTTCTCATCAGGGGAGCTCTGATCTTCACCATGAATGTCACTTCTTGGCTCCAATGTGGATCCCTCAGCTTGGTGGCACAGATCCTTCATCCCACCAGCGTAGACTTTCTGGCTTCCACCACTGGCCTTTGGGCCTTCTGGGTGCAGATCCTCAGTGCAGACAAGCATGACACATTGCCCTGGGCGCTAGGCCACTGGCTGGACTCATGAAGGGCATTGCCTTGGACTTTAGGCCTTCACATGGACTTGGGTAGGATATTGCCATGGGATCCCAGGCTTTGGCTGGATTCTTTGGGCCTCTAGTGTGCAGCTAATCTCTTGCACACCTCTGTATTCAATTTTTTGAGGAAAAATCATAAAATAATCCTATAAATTATGCATCCTGTATTAAATGTATTCCCTTAACAAAACCCTGACTACGACAGACATGAAAGAAAAAAGTGGAAGAAGTAGAAATGGAGAGAAAGGGGTGTCAAGTGAAAATATCCCTTGCTTGGAGGAAACAGTACAGCAGAGTGGTTAGCAAATATAAAAATAGACCTGAGTTTGTATGGTATCATAGTTCACTAAGAGTATGATCATATTCAAATAAATTACCCACCACATAGACCACAGTTTCCTATCCTATACAAGGATATAAATAGAAATCAAGTGACTTATTTTGAAAGTTAGAAAAAATAGTGCAGGAAAGTTGCTTAGCGCAGAATTTCTAGTGTTCTTGAAGCCTCAGGGATACTTGAGAAATCCATCTCTAGTTTACTAGGCTTGGAGTCAATACTGGATATCACCAGAAGCTTGGTAGTGGTGACCAAATATGTCCCAGGACCTCCAGAGGAACCATAAGGCAAAGTGACCAAGGATGGGAGAGATGTGCCAACTGTCAGAATCCAAGTCTGTCGGGGTGGTAAGTTCCAAGGAGAATTGAGAGAGGACTGAGAAAATTTCTTCTTCATCTGGAACCATGGTACAGCCATGCTTGCCATATAGGAATTACATCTTTGCCATTAAAAATATTTCATTCTTTGACTTTTCACCACTCATATTTTCTTACTATATTTTAGCCAGGAGACAAGCATCAAATTTTGGATTTCCACTCAGTACATTTACCTACATTGACCAAAAAATCCCAATCTTTGATAGAAAATCTTATGAGATATCTTCAATGGTGGGTCATGAACTGAACCTGCCCAGGTGGTTAGGCTGAGAAATCGTTATCTTTTTGTTTAGTCGTTCATGGTGTCTGTTATTAATAAAAGCAACACCTATCTTTTTAATCAAACATTCTCTTTGGTAGGAAATTCAATTGTCCTTAAATACTTA